ATATTTTTTCTAAGTCTTTTAAGATTTAACATTTTTTTGTGTTTTAAAATTGTATATTTAGTACCTTTCTTTAATATTGATTGTAATTCTTTATCTTTGATAACTTCTAAATTTCCTGTAACTGTATGATTATGAAAGACATCTTTAAAAACACTATTATTACAGTTACAAGGTAAGTTGTCAACTTCTATTTGATTAAAATTTTCAATGAATTTTTTATAGTTAAAGAGAAGAGGTTTATTATAATTAAAACTGACTATCGGTTGAAATGATTTTTTGGGAAAATATCTTCTTGAATACTTTTATGAATCAGGGAAGGTAAATATAAATCATCATAAACTTTATGTTTAAAATCAATTACTATATAAGATTTCTCTTTTTTCTTTACTGAAGGAAGTATAGGTAATCTAAATTTAATTAGATCTATAATCAAGTCTTTAACATGGATATTCTTAAACTCAAAGTTTAACAAATATTTTGACAGATATTTGAGTTTTGCATTTGTTAATTCAAATACTTGTTTTATTATAAATTTCACCAGATTAACAGATCTGTCAAAAACAGAATCCAAATTTTTACAAAAACTTTCAAAATCAATCCATTTCTTTCTATTTTTACCTTTACCCCTATTCTTACTCTGTTTACTTCTACAAATATTTATTTGAAATAAATTTCTGACACAGGAATCTTTACTTATAACTTCATCGGTTTTATTTTGAAAGTCCTGATTTAATCCATAAGGGTAAAAAGTTTTTCTTTCAAAATATGATATTCTCTCTTTCTGTTAAAAAATTTGTATTGTAAATTTTTCTAATATAATAATTTTTATATTATTAAATGAATGTTTGTTTGAAATAAATTTTTGAAACAGGAATCTTTACGTATAACTTCATAAGTTTTATTTCGAAAGTCCTGATTTAATCCATAAGGGTAAAGAGTTTTTCTTTCGGAATATGATATTCTTCTCTTTCTGTTAAAAAATTTGTATTGCAGATTTTTTCTAATATAGTCATTTTTACAATATTAAATTAATGATTATTAAAATGATTTATTTCTATCAAATGAGGAAAACCCTTATTACTTTGTGATCTATGTAGGTCAATCCTTAATGCAAAGGATTAGTTGTTTGTCCTACATATTTAAGTCCACATATACCACAAGTTAATAAATAAATGAATTAAATTAAATGCTGAGCAAAACAAAACCCTTCTACACACAAACAAACAAAAACCTTTACATATTCACACGCAGAGATGTACAATACAAGACATTCATATGTAACGATTCCTGTTGTTGGGTGGGTTCTTTTGAAATATTCAGATAGGTGAAGAATACAAAGTCCAATGAATTTAATGATGATAAAAACATGTTATTTCTTGAAATAAAATTATGCAAGGCAGCTTGACTAGTGCTCCTGATAGGAATAAGTTCACAGTAGGCACTAATACAAAAATTTCAATTACTGCTATCATTTTTCATATGTACTTTACTTTCTTGTATCTCTATTTCATAGTTGAAACAAAATTTAATATTCACAAAATTCAAGTAACTGACTAACAGGCTAGCAGTAACAGTCACTAATCTTCATCTGTGCAAGTGAAACATGCATTTTTATATTTCTCAAATAATTTCTAAACTTTCAAGAAAATTCTAGACCTTGAGCTACATCAAAACTCCCTCTATCCAACATTAATATAAACATCCAAATTTAAAATAAGACTACAGCAATATTGCTGATAAAAGAATAATCAAATACTTTGTATCTCAGTTTTCAATTTCAAACAAGTTAAAAAAATGTAGTTTTTGAATCATGCTAAACCCTTAATAATTACCTTAATTTATAGTTAATTATATTTCTAATTAACAATATTACCACTTTGAGATAATCACTCTATAAAAAGAAGGAATTTCACACACAAATAATGGTAAAAATTCTCCCTTATGCAATTTTGTTCCTACCTTTGGCCATTTTTGGTTAAGTTCTCGAGCTTTGATGGCATCCTGTAGTGCACGACCATATTTGCCAATTTTGACATAAGCAGCTGATCGATTGCTGTAAAGAACATGATTGGTAGGATCCAAACTAATAGCTTCAGTGTAAAGTTTCACAGCAGCACTGAAGTCCCCATTCTGGCAAGCTGCATTAGACTGTCTAACTTTTTCCAAGAAAAGAGCTTTATTTGAAGAGCTGTCTTCAGTTTCAGAGTCTGCTTCCAGCTTATAAAAAAAGAGGCAATTATTTATGATAATATATTTCTTTAATGACCTATAAGGAAAGATGAGCTTTAAATGTATTAAGCACTATTGCTAACAGTTTATTTCCATCATCATTAGAAACGCATATTTTTTGGAATCCAAAGTTGTTGTTTTTTTCTCTTTTAAGGAAAATAACTCTGACTGTAATTAAACAAACACATTCACAGCTCTCATATCAGTTGAGCCCAAATATTTTTATGCTCTAACCCCATTACCTATTAAATAGAAAAAATCATTATTGCAAATACACTGAAAAGTGAAAAAGTATTAAAGTATTATTTTGGGGGGGGGGGGTAAGAACATTAATCATTGCACAAAACCTCCAAGCTTTTCTAAAATTACAAACACTTGAATAAAAATTAATTTGAAAATGCTGGAACTTTTTAACTTGGTCCACCAATAATCACTGATATACAGATATAGTTGAATATTGAAAGACATGAGGATGAGGAAAAACTGGTTCACTTCTGTTGTCAGGGGTAATTGAGAGAAGCAGCTCCACAGATGGCAGTTTAATAAATAGTATGCAATGAAAAGTATTTTTTTCCTTCACCAATTTATTAGCTTTTGGATAGGAATTTTTCTTTTTTTCTTTTTTTTTGGATATCAGGAGTTAAAAGGTAAAAAAAACAAAAAACAGTTGTCTCAATATAAATATTAGAAGGAACTATATTTTTAAAATTCACACAAGTTTTAATTGGTTGTACATAGTAAAACCTTTGTTTGTTTTATTTACAATGTTTTACCAAATATACCTGGCATCACCAGGTAAGATACAAGAATTGAGGCTAACAGTTCTTGCATCTCACCTAATGATGCCAGATAAACCTGGTGAAACACTGTGTTTTACTAGATACAAAAGCTAAAAACTTGTGAGAGTTGTCTTGATAGTACTATTCATAATTTGGGGCCATTGTTATTCAGTATTAATATCAGCAGTTTAATTAGCTACTTGGGCAGCAAAATTTAAAAGTTGCTGATGATACTAGGATGTTGAGAAAGGAAATTCTGCTGAAACTCCTTCCTGAATTCAGAACAATCTGAAGTCTTTTTGGGTGAGCAAGAAAATATTTTCAAGACAATGAACTGTGAAGTATGAATTAAGTGCATGATAGTTTCTGTATGAGAAGAACGTTGGTGTGGTAAAATTAAACAAGAAGGAATTCTCATTAGTTACGGCACTTTACGTTCCTTTAGACAGGAATAGAGTAAATTAATCTATGACCCCTTATTTTCCATTTATTAGTTATATTTTTGTTTGCTAGTAATACCAAGCATGAGGCGTGTGTATATATACCCAATTCAATTTTATTTCTCAAATTGAAATTCTTTTAGGCAGGATTAGAGTAAATTAATCTACAAGACCGTGGGCATTGTCAAATACATCAATGGAAAGGGTTTGACCTCCTGAGTCCAAAACTGTAATTAGATCTAACATCGGTCAAGAGATGATGGAGCTATGAGCTAAAAGTTGGTACTTGAAAAAAAAAATTCAGAGCTCTTCTATGAGCTGCTATGCTGTGGCTAAAAATCTGAGTTACTTGCATTGGTACCAAAATGCTTGAAAACTTTGATTGTAATGAAAAAATTAATAGAAATTTGTAACTTAAGAGCAAAAAAAGTTATTATAGGCTAGTACAAGACTTGCAAGAGAACCCATTGTATAGTTTATTGTCTCTTAATTATATTATAGAACAAATACTTAACATGATGGACTATTAGAATTTTACTAGTACATGAAGTCTGAACTATACTGGACTTGTTTTCTCTGGACTGTTGAAAATTAACAATTTCCTAACCTAAAAATTTATTTCCGTTAGATACCTCAACACACGGAAATGCTATTTCCCTCACATGCCTGCCTATGATACTTGCATGACATTAGTCTTGAGCTAACTCCCACCTAAATTTGTGTGTTTAATCTGAACTGCAATGGTGAATGTTGACATTATCATGTGTCACAAATAGGGATGTGACACAAACTACATGCACAGTAATTCCCTCTATGCACTTGGATTAGTGATAACCTCATTCTTAGACGAGGCAAGAAAAACGTTGCACCAGAAGTGGGGAGGATGGGTGAGAATGTGTACGGAGATAAGTATCTATCACAAATACATTTTTAGATTAGGAAAATGTTAGCTTTCAAAATGACAACTCACCTCTACACACAGAAATTCTAAAATCACACACTAAAGTGGTAGAGGAGCCATTATAAAAATTCAAACCTAGAGGAGTTCCCTCCAGAAAGCCTATGGAGTTTAACATCCAATGTCAGGGGCTCCACAGGGACATACCTGTGAGAGACTGCATCTTGTATCAACCAAGGTATACTCTTTGCCTGAGATGAAAGGTAGGGAAAGGCAAAAGAACCTGAAGTGAATGGGTGGAATGTGATCATTTCAAACCGAGCACCTGCACACAAGTGGTCATCGAGCCAACATGTGTTGTGTGGTTAGGGTGCAATCAGAACATACAGTGTGTGTTCACCTTGACTCTACTGTACAGATTGGCTGCAGAAGGAGAACACATTAGTTGTGTGAGGGGGTGATTGATACTACACTGACAATGTCACCACCATCCTACTTCTCATCATACTGTGCTAAGCCTAACTAGTGAGCATTCTCCTTGGTCCATCACCCCAGTGGCTAGGAAATGGTATGTGACAAGGGTTTCCAGTGCTCCACTTGAAGAGGAAAGAGGGAGAATTTGCACAGGGGAGGCCCAGAGAAATTCCCTCAATGAACTACCAGCCACAAAGGTCTTTTACTGTGAGAGTGCAATAGGTGACTGCAATACCATATTTCTTAAAGTGGGCAAGTTCGAACCAAAGAAGTGGGCAGTCACTTCCCTGGTGCCAGCTTTTTTCCATGGAAGTCCATGGAATTGATATGGTCTGGATCAGACAATTGAGTAAGTTTGTACACCACAAGGATATCTCTAGTGGTCTTGTGGTACACCCCACTTGCAGCAGGCACTGGTAGAGCCAGGGCAGATGGTTGGAGCACTTTCTATTACCCCTGGCCCATTGCAATTTTGGGAAATAAACATACTCTGAGAGGCAACACTAGCCACCTGGTTGGATTCTGAATAATAGAAGGGAGAGAAAAGGAAGAAAACATACTTAGCCATCTCACAGATAATGGGTTGATTGAAGAATAGCAAGTGGGGTAAGTCGAAATCCTGTGGAAGCCAGATGATTAAGATAACATATAACAAATATATAGGGAGTCAACACATGCCTACCTGTAGGATCTCAACCAAGGGCTGGTAAAGATGCAGCAACAGAGCGAGACAGGTCACACATCTGATCTAAAGAAATTTGAAATAGCCTGTGAGCATCCAAATCCATGGAAGAATATATCAACCAGAGTCATTGACAGACCCATTCAGTAAGGGTACAAGGACAGGGGTACCTGGAAGAAGATGGGTCCCAGGGTTGGAAAAGATGATGGCAGGAATCCCAAAAGGGGGAAGTCTGTGGTAAGTAACACTAAAGAGGGCATAGGAGCTAATGTAGGTCTGAACAATCATATAGGTGAAAGACAGGAGGGGAGATAGGAGAGAAAGTACAGTTACCTTCCTGAATAGCAGAAGACTTAGGAAGTAAAGACCAGTCTAGGCAGAGGAGTATATATGTATGGTGGAAGAGGGTGCAAGAAGCATTAATAGCACAGACATTTAAACAACAGAGACCATAGATGAAAGGGAGGAGTAAATAAGTTTTGAGAGAAAGGTGATATGAAAAGAAAGAGCCAATGGTTCATACAGGGCATATGTGAGATCATGCAAAACTACATTACAGTCCCAATCATGCACGGGGGTTGGGTGAGGAGGTAAGCAAAGAAGGAAATATCAGAATAGAGTGGAGAGCCCAGAGGGAAAAAAACATCCTGTGGTACCAGGAGAGATGAAATGTAGTGGACAATGCTGCCCAATAACTAGCAATGGTGGAAACTGATAAATCATTGTCGAACAGTCATGTAAAAAAGGCAAAAAGTGGTTCACAGTAGGATGGTTGGGAGAAAAGAAGCAGTGGATGGATCAATGATGAAAGGCCAACAACTGTCATTGGAAACAGACAAAGTGGAAGGATGATAGCAATATGACCAGAAGAAGGCTACACAATCAGAGGGTCTGGCCCAATGGGTGATGTACTGGACAAATTCCACACGTGGAGATGAAGGGACAATATCCCTTGATTAAAAAGGGATGTATGAGGTTGAAACAGTAGAGAGGGAACAATGGGTAGAGAAGGGGGTGGGGTCTGGATTCTAAGCAAAGAAAGAATGGAAAACATAACTGAGCCAGTCAAAGAAGCAACACCAGGAGAATTCAAGAAGGAGTGTTGTGTTTCAAAGTGAGGACCTGAAGAAGGAAGCATAGGCATACAGAAGAAGGTGAGATAATCAACAGCCAGCGCTGAAGGATGAGGAACAAGGTACCAGAAGAGAGGATGCTTGGAGTTGAGAATGGTACCAAAGGTGGCCATGAGAGCCATGCCCAACCAAGAGTGAATCCAATGAAAGACCTGGGTGTGGAGAGACCACTCTATAAGTATAACAGTCTGGCCAGGAGAGGCAGTCTACAATGAGGTTCATAGCTCCTGGCATATGACAAGGAGCAAGATGGATTCAATGGGAATGAGCCCAGAAAAGAAAGTATAATTCCAAAAGCAAAGAGTCCCAGAATGGGTGTTTCCATAAATGGTTCATGTTAGAAATGACTATGGAATTGTCTGAAAGGATTATGACCAACTGATCCACGAAAATAAGTATGAAAGGGAAACATGCCCAGGAAACAATGAGAAGTTCGAGCATGTTTATATGGTACAAATTCTCATCCTGGATTCAAATGAAAGAAGTCATGTCATCTCAGGATTGAGACTATCTCTGAATTAGAGGAAAGCACCAGTGCAGAGATGGAGAACAAGTCTGTGGGTGGTAAGGGAATGTTGGATG